CGTTAGGTCACAGATCTTTGGTTATCAAATGGAAAAATAGTTGGAAGGCTTTTTTTCCTAATTGGAACTGGTTTTATAAAAGTCACATTCTAGATAAACCCGAGAAAAGCTTTTGGGTATGTACATTTAGTACTGTCATTTACCTTAGCACTGATTAGCAGTACTGGCAAATCAAGCATTTCTCAAAATATTACGCCAAGCTAAAAAGGCAGCTCAATCCTACAGGGCAAGAAACGAAAATGAACATGCAGTGCCTTAACCACGTCATCGTTTGCTCTGGCTACACAGTGTGTAAGCAGGCGCGCACCCGTGTGTGTATTGTTTGCATGATCCGCAAACCCTATGTAATTTCAAATCAGCGAAAGAAGAATCTTGAATACTGAAAACAACTCTACTTTCTGTGTGTGTCTGAAAATCGTCCACTTGTGAAGATAATACCAGAGTATGTACAAGTGTATTTTTATTTAAATATATTTAAATATTTAAAAATACCGCTATCCACAACTATTCGATGGCTGCCCATACTGTCATTCAGAGGGCCGTTCAGAATGTGTTAGGTTGCAGTAACTAATGTGCAATAAAAATAAATGATAAAATAAAAATAAAATGTATACTTTAAAGAACTGCTTGGCGGCGCCTCAGTGGAGAGCATTTTCTGTTTTCAAAATGTAAACAGGACAGAATAATGTAATTTTTCTTCAATCAACAGCTAGTTTTGACAGGTAATATTACCTCCGATACTTCGATGTCTCTCAGAGCATCGCCATCAGAGAATGAGGCTATCAAGTTGAATAACCCTAATGAAGACGCTCTGAGAGACATCGAAATATTGGAAGTTATATTAGCTGCCAATATTAGCCGTTGGTTTAAGTAGAATTATCTCATTCCTCTAACATAATACAGCTGATGAAATTCCTTTCTAACGTAAAAAGAGCATATAGTGCAGTTGGCGCCGAAGAAAAACCCTACCTCAAATGTCCTTGTATTACATACTGGATAAAAAACAACAGACTTGATTCGTGACGCTTTGGAATTGGAAACCAACTGATACCTAATATCCCCACTTACTTTTGCATTTACATGCTTAAAAACACATACCATAACAATAAACCTTATGGTTACATAATGGGAAAAATCACAACTGGGTTGAGAACACATCAAAAGATTCGTGTCTGAGAGTCAGATGTGTTCTATTACCATGGAGGGAGGCTATTCACCTGGATAGCCTCATTCCCTGGTGAAGATGCTGCGAGGGACATCGAAGGAAATATCAACTGTCAATCTTAGCTGTAAATTGAAGAAAAATTACTTTGTTCTGCTCTGATTACATTTTGAAATCAAAATTATTTTCACCTGAGGCGAAGACAAGTCCTTCTCTAACTTGTGGGTTTTATAATTGTTTTTATTATTTGTTTTGTTTTTTATCTATTATCTATAAACAAATGAGCGATTTCTACTGCATGTTCTTTGATCACTTTCTTTTACGTATTGATATTGGGCGTGGTGTCATGCAATTGTGGCATATCTATGATTCGGAGGGGGGGGGAGCAGGCTGCGTGCAGCCGATCCCCTTAACTTCGGCTACCCCCCTTACCCGTCTCCTTAAGAAAATTGAATACATAGATGGATAAATAAATAAATGAATAACACCTCAAACAATAAACAAGAGAAATGAGACAAAAACATCATTCTACACTGCAACTTATAGTAAATCGTACTCTTCTGCGATTTTATCTTTGCCACGATTGAATTATACTGAAAAAAATTGTCTGTTAATAAACGAAATTTTACTGGAAATTGCATTAGTCTACTTCTTAAATCTTCTAATTGCTGACCGTGAATCTGGTATATCGCTCTCATCACTGCCTTGTGGAGATCTGGTAATTGCATAAAACCCTCGTTATCACTGCTAATTACCTCGGAAACATGATGACTCTGAAACCACAGGGAAAATCGCTATCTCATGAGCGACTTCCTTTTCACAGCTTAGAAAGATTAGAACACGTTCACACTACTCATATATGGGTCGAGTCTGATTCGATTCGAAAATATCTTGGAGCGGTCGATTTTCAGGATTGTCAACTTTCTGGAAAGTAAGAACAGCGTATAATGACTAGGCATTTTGTTGTTTTCAAAATATTAACACTTAAAGGAGTGTGACACCTATGGGTCACCATAGTAAGAACAACAGTTACAACCACGGTGTATTTCAGAAAGCATACTTTGTTTGCAGTTTTGTTTTATATAACGACCTGCAATGTCCCACTTCGAGTAACAGGAATGGAAGTCCTAGGAATGGAAGTCCAGGGTCCCATTTGATTAGTACAAGTTAAGGTTAGTAGGGGTATTGGGGTTTTAAAACATGTGGGACGAATGTCACCTGTACAAAGTAATGGGAAACGGACCACGGTTCCTAGCGGACTTCCGTTACTGTTCAACCGGTGTTTCCTCCAAAATGGCAAAGGCAATGAACTTCACAGAACATGTTCAATTTGAACCAATCAAATTAACCTTTTTAAAAATAAATATGTATGAAGCGATATACTTAGCCAGATTGATCCACTCCGAGAAATTCTAACATGCAATAACGTTATAGAGAACACCCCACGACGGAGAGTTCGCTTCCCATTCAATTGTACAGATAAGCCTCGTCCTAGATTTTGACCCACTTGGCCCAGGCTAACCCTAACCATTATAACTAAATGGGGCACGGACTTTCTGTTACACGGACAGTCAGCTTCGTTACCTCGGGATTTTAAGTTGTCAATTCCCTTAAATTGGTCTGATCAGCCTCATTCGTGAACATCACAGTTACCGGGAATTGTATTTACAGCAAAACTGAATATATCAATAAAGAAAAATAAATAAATAAAATAAGAAAAACACTCACTGCTATTGCCGTAACATCTGCAAATCTAACACTCAAATAGTAGAAACGACACCGAACTAACATTGTTTTTAACTCATGTCACCAAAATGAGATCTCTCACACTCTGTGTACGCAATGCTTTTTCCTCAACCAAGCACAGTTGGGTAACAGTCATAGCATAGTAGTGGATCCCTGTGCTTCTCTAATGCAATCATACTTGAGCTTTTTACCTGGGTTGATTCCGTACATTTTGCGTGGACGTTTACTCTCTAGGACTAGGGGCCCAGGTACATGCCCTTACGTTAATCAAATTCAGGCTATGCTCCTGGATAACTGATTTAGGCTTTTATATGAGATTGTGCGAGTTTAATATGAACTTGTGCGCAATGCAATTGACTTTTCGATTTTGTAAAATGTTCGACAGCTGTTATTGTTTGGAACTATGCATACAACGGGATTTTCAGATCATTATGTTTACTGCACCATGCAACCTTGTAATTTTAAGTTAAGATAAACACACGGAATTATAGAATAACTGTTTCCCTTTATTGCTGAGACGCATTGTGTTGAAAGACCAGCGAAATGCGTTTTCTTGTTTAAACCGCGGTTTAATCTAACCAGCACTAAAATCTAACCCATTTCCGACCGACCATGAACATTTCATCACAAACCCTCCGTCAATTTCAACATAATATTACCAACATATTGAAAGTTTAATGATTATGTTTTGAAAACACATCGTTAGCTGCGTGACAGGGATTATTTAAATGCGGGTTTCAACTTTTGAATGGGATGAATTGTTATCTCTATGAATAAGCAAAAAACAACTTAAAAAACCCAAACCATATGAAAAAAGGCAATAATGTTGGCCTTTCCTTTATTCATACATATATGTGTGTGTGTGTGTGTGTGCGTGCGTGCGTGTGTGTGTGTGTGTGTGTGTGTGTGTGTTATTTCATCTTCACCTTATATTGTTTTTTTTCCTATTTCACTGCAGTACGCACACCTAATAAGACTACAAATTGAACTCGCTATCAAAATAAAAATCTACAAATGCAGGTATAATATTAACGATGAAACAGACACACTTTCGCAGCATTTAATCTCCTTTTGGTTCTATATACATGTTCATATGCTGCACTGCGTTGGTACTGAACCGCCAAATGCTTGTCTGATAATAAACTCCATAATTATTACACTACCAGCAGTTCAACTGGAAAATGATTCAACAATTGCCAACAGCTTAAATAAAACCATGCTTGTTAGACCTTAATATAACAGATATAATACTCTGGTAATTTTCTGATAATCACCACATTCAACCTTATCGAAAATGGGTTTTTAGATCGTAATAGCAATATAGTGTCCTTTAGAGGAGAAAATGGAAAAGTTAAAATTGCAAGGACTCTGGTTATATATAAAAGCGCGCACATTGTATACATAAACCTTCAATATTCCAATCGTGATTAATTTTTGTCGTGACTTACGGTATGACTGATGAAGTAGTAAAAAATGTATGTGCATAAATGTATATGTATGGTGATAGTGAAGTTATTGAATCACCTTGGTATGTACGTTACTCGATGATAAAGTGTGAAAGTGAATGGTGTTAGTTTGAATATGCCAATGTGCAGGAGGGAAAAAAGAGAGCTAGAGGCTAGACACGCGTGAACTGTTAACCTTCAAGTAATTTTCAATGTGTTTTAATTGTAATAACGTGTGCAGCAACTTAATTGTCCAGCTCGAATTTATTCACAGAGAGCTCATTAATTTTACAGAAAATCCTTCACCCTATGTTGCAGCGTACTGCTCCTGAGTCGCTCCCGTTTCAACGACGTAAATGTTCAGTGTATAATTTCATCGAATGATACTCCCAGCATAAACTCCAATAAGTCTGCCCCAGCTTGTATTTTTATAATTGCCATATCAGCACGATTTTTATTTCAGTGCCAGTAAAGAACAAGCGGGCATATACATATGTAAATGATGCTTATGTGAAGCGGCTGCTCCGCTTGTTCTCTATAGAACTCAAACCTATGCTTATTGACGACCTCGCATTAATGTTAGTTATACAAAAGCAAGTTTGTCGTTAAGTAGCCTCAGAAACCCGGGGTGAAAATCACATCGTTGAATACAGTTTTACGAGAGAAGAACGTATTTATGCAGTTATGTAATTAATTCATGAGACGGCGTTTGTGAAATATGGATCTGTCATTTTTATGCTGCTGAAGTATATTCTAAATAACCATGATGTGGGACGAAGCAACGAGTCTACATGAATAATGCACGTGTGCGTTTGAATGATTTAAAGTTGAGACACAGCCTTTTCTAGGACTTAACGTGCGCTGATGATCAGATTGCTCAATTTATCTTGGTTGTGTCATTAACCCGCTGCATCTAAGCCGTAGCTGCTGCCATTCGAGACGAAGTTACACAATTGTTATTACGTGTAATTGAGGCGCTCATCAAGAGCGTACTATCAATGGATTAACTAGGAGCTGAAATTAACGTTTTTTTTTCTGATCAAACTACAGTCGTATATATAGATTTTGTAGTAACACTCAAGAGACTACGAGAATAGCCAAGCATGAACATGACGGAAAAGCACGGATATGACATGTTTAGTACCAGTGACATTGTAAGTAATGGCGGTATACTACCGATGTATATTTCTTCCATTTGTGAATCCAAGATGTCAAACATAAGTTTTAATTTATTGTTGCTATTATTCAGGCCTGTAGCCAGTGGGGTTGGAGGGTTCAAAAGCACCCACCCCCTTTTTTTGCTGGGAAAAGGTCCCCTCTGGATAAAGTTCCATCTCGATACACGAAGGTTTCATGGTAAAACGTCCACTTTTTCATAAAAAGAACCCCCTTTTGAAATTGCTGGCTACGGGCCTGATAATTATAGTACTTAAACTTTATTACATTGAATTTATTTGTTTATTAATTTTATTCCCCTTTCATGTTTTCAGCATAATTGAAATTCATTACACATGGGGGGGGGGGGGTAATTCTTTATCTGAAAATGTGGAGTGGGGTTGGGGGGGGGTTGCTGGAGGTGTATTGTCTTGGGTACAGTTACTAGTACACATGCATATTTGAAAAATATACCTGTGCGATGATTAACATAATGATTTTAAGTAAGCCTTGTAAATGTACCCGATTCTACTTAGACTTTTGTCTATATATGATACAATGTAATGGGAATATTATACTGCCCTTGTAGCTGATGGTATTCCGTTTATCTAATTTTTTTTTTGTTTATTTATTAATTAAGTTACCTATTTGTGTTTGCTTGTGTATCGATGAATTAAGTCATATAACGCATACTTTCGATCACCTAGTATTCCAACATTTATTCTGTCAAATTTTGAGTGAATCAAAGCGGTTTTGAATTATGCATACGTTGACCCAATTCGAGTATACGCAGATTTATCCATTTCTTTCAGCTGAACTTTCACGCTGGAACAGGTGAAACGTTGTTCTTTGAAAAGTGGCTAGTCAGTCAGGATAAACGTAAGTCTGTCTGTCTTTCTTTTCTCGTTCTGTCTTTCTTCCTTTCCTTCTTGTCAGTGTGCTTTTCTGCATTTACTCTTCAAGAGAGTATGTCTGCATTTCTTTATTCCTTATGGCAGCCTGTAACCGCGTTCAGATTCAAACATCGTACCATCTGGGTCGATCCAACTCTGCAGGGGATTCTCGCAACAGTGCAATCAGTGGGATCAGCTTAAATGTCTGGGGGGTTACCTTTCGTGCACGCTCGACTGAATTACCCCCTAGCTGCTTGAAGAGCTTCCCTCTCCCCTACTAAACTTCTGGTACCGGTATTTCCATATTTCACTTAACATTATTATTATTATTATTATTATTATTATTATTATTATTATTATTATTATTATTATTATCGCTTATAAAATATCATGCATATGTAACATTATCAGAGCACTCATGCACTTTTTTTGCTTTGTGTTCTTTATTTCCACAAAACACCATGCATATAAGGTGGGCGCGGTGTACATTTTTAAGCGGTGTAGTGGTAAGTGGAGAAAGATGCAGTGTTTTAGCAATATTTTCACCTTTTCATGGCCATACAGATTGTTTAAGCAAATGCGACGGACTTCATTTTTTGCATAAATGTCCTTTTCTAGCTGTGTTAATCGAGTTGCCGTTGGTCGTACCATGAAATTTTGACGGAATTCAAGCCCTCTTACAGTATCTCGGAGGTTTGCACATTGTTTCACGACATCTAGCTTCTTTTTGCAGGCCAGCCGGATCCAGGTGCTGCTGATGACGTCACGCTGCACCGCTTTATAAATTTGGTATTTGGTAACATGATTCAAATAATGTAGACGCCTACATTAACATCCATGTAACAAGTCACATACAGGCATGTACCAGACCATTCTGGTGATTACGCCAACGAATTAATTGATGATCTTACCTCGAGTGGAATAAGCTATAATGTAATGATAGGAACGCGGCGTCAGTTATGTGAAACTGAGTCAAAATGTCCGTTTACTAGTGTATCAATGCTCAAATAGCGCACGGTTATTATTATCGAGTACGTAATAACCCTATTTGACAAGTCTCTCTTCTTTTTCATACATTAAAAAGATGATTTCTAGGTCAATACCGCGTGTCATCATCATCATCATCATCATCATCACCAGAATGATCCTCCGTATATCGAATATTGTCGGCACACTCCACGGACTGCGTGTCAGAGAAAATAAAGTTGACAAGAAATGATGATAAATTTCTACATTTCTATTTTGTGTTTTAAACGTATAGCTTTTGAACAAATATTGAGGTTAGGGATTTTTACCATGCAGCCCAATATTCAAATATTAAGCCGTTTTCCCTTTTTTCCTTTAGTCGTGTTCATACAGACCGGCAATTGACTTAATGATGTCTCATTAGAGTACTAGTTAGTCGCACTAGCACCACAGCCCAGACTTTTAAATCACATATTTTGGCATTCATTGACCAACGTCAGTTTTCAACCAAAGACCGACATCGTGCTAATATCTATTTATTTTTCCAGAGTTCTTGGTAACCTGTGTCGCAGTGTTTTTTCTTGCCTTTTTCCATGAAGGCCTCAAAGCGTTGGTTGATTACGTCAAGATGAGCAGAGACCGAGTCTATGACGCCACGCAATCTGCCACTGTGCGACAGACTTCAGAAAAAGACAAAACGGAAAAGACCGGAAACGCTGAAAGCATGGGTCACGAACCGAGGTAAAACGCCTTCGTAGGACGGTAAAATCTCCTATTTCTTAGAAAGTGATATAAGTGACCGATATGTTTCAATATATACATAAAAAATGACAAAAATACGAAAATTATTAGAATAGGAATCGTTCATAAGAAATACCGTCGGTGCTTTTTGACGTCATTAGAGAATGGAAACTATGAAAAACACCAGAACCATTGCGCCAACGCACTCGATAATCTGCCATTATTTCTGATACCTCTGTCCTCCAAACGCCGCCAAATAACGCTATGTTTCATTCTTAGTCGCGCGACTGAGCTATCTCGGATGATTGACATACAATGTAGTTTATCACTTGGCAAATTGAGTTTTAGTTTCAGTTGACAGTGACTCGGCTTTGTTTATATTCAGAAAACAAATATGGGCACAAATATTAAGTGAAAATATAATACTCTCTGAAACCCAGGGTGGTAAATTCCTTGCTAGTAGAACTACGTTTTAATACAGTATAAGAACAAATGATGAACCAATTTTTACTTTTTTTTTTTTTCTTTTACAGGTCATTCAGTCGATCTTTTTGTGCGTTCCACGTTCTTCATTCCCTCCTGTACATGAGCCAAATGTTCACTGCATATACCCTTATGATAATCTTCATGACCCTAAACGTCTGGCTTTGCACTTTGGTATGTCTCGGGACTGGCATCGGTATGCTGCTATTCAGATTACCACTCTGTCCGATGCAGTCGCCATCTATGGACAGTAAAGAGAACGATGGAAAGGGAAAAGATTGAAGTTGGTCTTGACATGGTTGATTTATTACCATCCGTCATTATCAAAGACGAAATAAGGATTTGTGATAGAATTATCTAATGGAATATGTGGACAATATTTATCTATTAATATATCATGTATATCAAAGTCATAATATATATATATATATATATATATATATATATATATATATATATATATATATATATATATATATATTGTCCGCACACTTTTTCGCACACAATTTGTGGGGTTGCTTTTATTTGACAATAACCCCCTTCTCTAAATCTAACAGTAAATAATAAAAAAGAAAAGAAAAGAAAAGAAAATTAATAACCCGGGTTTTTCTATCATCAAAATGCCTGTACAGTATGTTTCGTCCGGCGTCGAAAAAGGGTCACAAAGCGTTTTTTTCAAAAACTTTTGCCAAAAGTGATGCAGCATAGGAGAAATATGGCGGTACTTGGGACGTGTTTAATCATAGAAACTGAATTGGGCCTACGTGCATTCGACTGCACTTCGGATTATGGCCTACCTGAATTAATATAGAGCAAGGTTATTTTCAACTACAGCAGTTTAGCTCGTTACAGCACTGGTGCATGTAAGTACGACTATTATTCAGCGGAATAATCTAATATTAAATGTATATATAAGCTTAAACTATATAGTGCCAGTTTTATAAGAATTTTGCCCTTCTGTAACTTAGAGGCTGGGATGCATACTCCATGAATGTACTGAAACATTGGTTAAGTACCCGTACCTTTGTAAGAGACTTCTATTGAACTGGGGGTAGGGGAAATGCTTACACTTTATAAAGTTAACTACTACCAGTAGTATAAAAAAAAAACTAAAAAACTTGAGTGAAGATCGAGGGGATTACCCCACCTCTGCCTACAAACACACACAAACACACACATTTAAACGAACACACACACACACACACACACACACGCACAAATTTACACACACACACTTACATACACACACACACACACATTTGCACACACACACACAAACACACACACATTTACACACATTTACACACACATGAAGCATATAGGGATGTTCATATACACTTCCTTTTAGCAAACCCTGTCATTCACCGAGCACCCTGTAGAACGCCATGTCGCTGCCAGCGGATTTCCAAGCCTTGCACCCTGAATGTCAAGCCTTCGTGCGAGACCGAATAAACACGCAAATGAGGGGAGATGATGATTGGAATGTCACCAGAAAAGCAAAATCAGAAGCGACTGCCAAGGCGGCAAAAGAGGCCGCTTACGACTTCAAAGGGACTAGGGGAGAGATAACTATTCCGTCACCGCACGTGAAAGGTACATGTACACGTATACATTTCATGCCCATAGCTATTGACTTCTGAGGCCTGTTTCACGAGACTTAGTCTAAATTTTTGGTCCAAATTTTCAGTCTGACCTGACTCAGGACAACCTAAATTCCGACTTGTAATCCAATTGAAAGAAATATTGCTTTGTTGTATATAACAAGAAAACATGACTAACATTTAAGATAAATATTTCACTTCTTCCAGGTAAAGTTTGTTTTTGAAACCGGGTCGTAGTCGGTCATGTTTGTCTCTCTGTTTGTACTATGTGGAACGATTAAAGCACACTTATTTAATGCAACAGCTTACTCGCGTTTGTGACACCAATACAACGGAGGCCTCGTCGCTAGGCAACAGCATTATGTTACCCGTATCTTAGTAATTGGTTATATATTCCGATGTAATTTGTATTCAGGCTCAAATGAAATTGGGGAAGAGTTAACGACAATGATGAAATTGACTCTCTAATTGGCAGCAAACGTGATGAACGCCTGACAATACTAGCCAAGTGGCTATAGTTTGCCTTTCAGAAGGTGGCCGTGTTCCACTAGCTTTTCACTAACCATTCACTTCAAGTGAAGTATTTACTGGTACATGTACTCCAGTACATGTAAACCAATAAGATTCCGGAACTCACGCGGCAAAATTGAATGGCAAATTTACCGACATTGGGGTGTCAATCTCACTAGATAATGTCCTGGATGCTCCAGTCAACTCATTAAGCGCACATTTACCAAGGCTCTATTCAAAATAAATAAATAAATAAATAAATAAATAAATAAATAAATAATGCATTTTCCATTGGATACGGACTTAGAGTTCAAATTTAAACCTCGCCAGACGTCGTTGTAGAAGACTACCCTTAAACTTTGCACAGCATCAAAAGCATCACGTCCTATTCATGATCAATTAACAGTTTTCACCGTAAACACAACATCAAACGTTAGTTTTCGCACTAATTTCAGAGGGCCTTAGAGCGTGGGTTTACACCCCGGCTAATGGCCCCAAGAACCCTCCAATCGTGGTGTACTTCCATGGCGGAGGCTGGGTCCTCTGCAGCCTGGAGGATGTGGATACTTTTGTGAAGATGCTGACTGAGTAAGTCTCTTTTACAATCTCTCCTGAAAATGGTTTTCTGAAGCTGCGAGCTGAGTACCTGTAAGTAATTGCGCAACACATGAAAAGTCTCTCAAACAGAAAATGCCTGTTTAAGTTATCAAATTAATTTATTGAGCACTAAAGGTGTGAATTGATAGCATTTGCAGACTCCGTGTTCATAAAACATATTCAAATTTTTCCGTAATGCCTTTCATTAAGAAATATGATAGTTGGCATTACAAATCAATTCACTAACCATTCAGTTAAGCGAGCTAGTAGTCCAAGTATATTGACACTACCTACAAAATTACGAACAATCTTACATATAACCAAGCCCCTAAAGCAATAATGTTTGCACAAACCGCTTTTTTTTTCAGGTCAGTAATGACTGCGGCCTATTTTCAACTTAAATGTCAACACTATTTATTTGTGGGCCAAATGCATGCTCTCAGACCTATATTGCATATATGTTGTCGATGGGACCTAGATTGCTACTTGTTTTATGCCAGATGATTAAATTAATGTTAATATCTTATTTGTATATTTAATTTTATTTATCCTAGCACCGCCAACTGCATCGTAGTGAGCGTGGATTATCGTCTGGCACCAGAACACAAATTTCCTGCCGCCATTGACGACTGTGAGACTGCCGCCAAATGGGTTCTGGGGAACAAGGAATTTGTGGGTAAATAAACAAATAAATAGACAGATACATGCAGATACTTATAAATAAATAAATACAAGCATGATATTAATAACGATTATAAAAACAAAAGTAAAAATACAAAAATAAAAGTTAAAAAATAGAAAATACATCAATTATTCAATAAATAAATTGACACATTTTTAAAAGATAAATTTAATCAATAAATATGTATAATAATAACGCCAATAATAATTATATATGTGTGTGTGTGTGTGTGTGTGTGTGTGTGTCCATGCAGATATAATGAGACAAAACAAGGCGTTTCTTTTTTTTTTCTTCGCTAGGTGGCAGCACGCTCAGCAAGGTTGGTGTCGTTGGTGAAAGTGCAGGAGGACATCTGTCGGCCTGTGTGTCACATGATGTCCCAGGACTAGCGTTTCAGGTAAATGTTTTTTCCCTCTCCTTAAAAAGTATAAGAAGACCGAAAGAAAGTAAAAATAAAAATTCAAATAAAAATAATAAGATGCCCGCTAGCTACCTTTGTCATTTATAAAACCAAGCATAAAAGTAAAGCAATGTTCATTGTTACATGGAAACGAATTTAGCCGCTTTCCAGTAGGTCTGGAGACAGTCACCGGAGGTCTATTATTTTATTGAAGTGATCCCGTAGTCAACTCACTCTGCCAGCTGAAGTCCCCACGGCTATTAAATGAGTTACTTCGTCACTTCTTTAGAACTGTCTTCTAATAATTTTCAATTAAATTTTAGTCTTCATGTGACAAAAAAAAAAAAAAAAAAAAAATCAGATTGAACCTAGCCAAGAAATGACCTCAGTCAGAGTCAATGCAACCTTTTGGCTTGTACTGGTATCGTGTTTTCTCGTTTTTCATCGTGCACAAATAAGAAAAAAACTACATCATCAAATAAAAATGTAATTAATATAACCCAATATTTGCGAATGAGCTGTCTGGTCAATAACATAATGAGTTTCCGGCACTGCATGGTATTTACATATTCTATCCCAGGTGCTCATCTATCCGGTGACGGATATGCGGATTGACACCCGGGAGTCGTACAAACGCTATGCGGAGGGCTACGTTCTTACCACCGAGGCTATGTACTGGTTAGTGCGAGCACTTTGGGGCCGTTCATATGAAAAAATTATTTTCTAAAAATCTATTTTCTATTCGCGGTATCTTGTGATCACGGTCTGTGCCCTGAATATCCCGCGGCGTAATTACTGGCAGCGCAACCCAGTTACTTCCAAAGCTTTAATTAATTCTCGGCTGCGCTTGGAGTGATCACAAGATACCGTGAATAGAAAACAGATCTTTAGAAAATAGATTTTTCACATGAACGGTTCCTTAACTTGAATCTGTGAACTTAAAACTGTTTCTTAAACGATAATGCGCTAGCATACAGTGTACTAGTATACTTGTGCCACACGTACATGTATTTTAAATCCCCTGCAATATGTAAAACTGTCATTCAGTTTACAGAGATACTAAACTGACTCCACATATCATAGATTGTAGTCAAAACTGATAGCAGGTCTCGTTTTCAAGGTTTGTAAATCACTTCCTCCACAACGAGGCTGAGAGGTCGGATCCACGTGCCTCTCCAATTCTACGGACAAAGTTTGACCACCTTCCACCAGCCTTGTACGTCGCCGCCACCCATGATGTCCTGTTTGACGAAGGGATGGGTATATTATTTTTTATTATTCATGCAGTGAGTTTATTACGAGTAATGGTCATTTAGCACTTGTATACCACCACATGTTTACTAACGGTTCTAAAGCTATTTTGAATAGCGACCATTGATGAACACTTCGCTATTGTTTCCCTTCGTTTTCCCGATGCCAATTTTTTTATTTGATGAAATCAGGCTTCTGCTTTGAATTTTGATGTTATATTTTGACTTAAAATTATTGACTCAATACAAATTCGATCTGTGGCGTAGCTGGCAAAGGATAGAGATCATTGACCTTCCACGCCTAAGCTTCACTTTAGGGTTGTAGGTTTTATCTCTATAGTATGAAAATTGTACTGAAGTAAAACAATTTGACATGATTTTTGCACATATGTCCGAGAAAAAATATCAGTGAACAATGAATAAGGGTACTTAGTTTAAAATGCTAAATACAGAAAAACACAAACATACATTTTCCACTTTCTGTACTAATATTGTACGTTCGTTTTTTTAGAATATGCCAAAAAACTGAGAGAAGCTGGAGTAACAATTGAAACCCTTATGTTAGAGGGAATCACTCACTGTACGGTTTATTTTCCTAGTAGGTTATATTATTATTTCTAGACTTAATTTCAGTATATCATTTCAGCATTTCACAAAATTTAAAATATTTCTAGTTATCATAATAAGAGTAATGCTCATTATTACTATCGCTTTTGTTATAAACGTATTAAATATTTGATCTCTCCACCTTCCATTTCCTCTATACTTTTTATAAAGAGCATGTAAATTTGATAATATGTTTTAGATTATTTCAAAGAGACGAATGCCAAGATATGCGGGAAGGTTGCAGAGTTCGTGAAAAAACATTCTGAATAAACGCTCCTGGCATCAACGTTTACCACGTAGAGCAAGTCATGCTCATCAGTTGAGTATTTACATGTAGTGCCTACTTCAAAACAAGATGCACTGGTTACTAACAACGCCATCTTCCTTTTGATCTGTCGGATATTATTGTTAATATTTATGCCTCACTCTCCCTTTATCCACAATTTTAATTTTGAAGATGTCTGTGCACTATGGTGCCCGCCTATATAACGTCATGTTTCAAATTGCAAGTTTCTGGGTGGTTTTGAATAAGGTACAATATACTTTTTTATGATTTTAAGGGAAATGTAGTTTTTGTATATAAATTTGTGAAGCGATTCTGCTTTTATCCAGTTTGTATTTACAGTATATTTGACGAGTAAAGTACTGTGGAAAATAAACTACGGGAAATTATTGGTTTTGTAAATTTATTATTATTTAATTATGATAAGTGTGTTTGTGTGAATGTGTGTGTGTAAAAAAAGTGTTACTTTACACACATACAAAAAAAATAAAATAAAATAAAGCAATATGTAATCAACTCGTTCTTAATACAGTGCTACAGACAGGTAGCCGATTAATTAACACGGACACTTACGCCTCAATACTCATTTCTGGTTACATATTGCATTTGGATTTTTCAACAACAATGCATTTTTTTACATATTTCATCTTGCCGACATTATAGGAAATTCAGTTTATATACTCTACTTATAAGAAGCTCCATTTTCTAGCTTTCCCCGATTGTGAAAACATTGCCTGTGTTGTTCTAAATGTAGCAGTACCAGCAGCTGAGTCTAGTCATGTTCTAACACAGGCACCGGTAAGATACCGCTAGATCGAGCGATGCAGTAGTCGAGATGTGGCATGCAATGTAAAACCCGGTAGAAATCTTAGACCCCATTCCCATACCTAGATCGAACAAGCAGGATCGACCCATCTCTGAGGAGTTCCTCGCAAAAATGCTTTCAGCTTTAGCTGCTTAGATGTCTGGCACGTCTACTGAAGCTCCTAAACGACAGTTAATTACCCCCTAACAGCTTCAGTAGGCGTGCCAGACATCAGAGCCGCTTAAGATGAAAGCATTTTAGCGAGAAACCCCTCGGAGATGGTTCGATCCTGTTGGATCGATCTAGGTATGGGAATGGGGCCTCTTGCTCGGGGGNGGAGTTCCTCGCAAAAATGCTTTCAGCTTTAGCTGCTTAGATGTCTGGCACGTCTACTGAAGCTCCTAAACGACAGTTAATTACCCCCTAACAGCTTCAGTAGGCGTGCCAGACATCAGAGCCGCTTAAGATGAAAGCATTTTAGCGAGAAACCCCTCGGAGATGGTTCGATCCTGTTGGATCGATCTAGGTATGGGAATGGGGCCTCTTGCTCGGGGGGGGGGGGGGGGGGGGGGGGAGGGGTTATGGCGGTTTGTGAAACCAAACAAACAGCGTCACCTATTACCGTCTTCTGGCCTTATTAGCTCTTTAATGAGCATATGTTGATCCCTGATCTGGAACAATCGACTACCTGTTAAACAATCTCAGAAGTGCAATAAACATTGAGTAATATCCCCGATAACTGACCTGATTCAGGTGCCTCTAGAATATTTATCTAGACAGCGCCTTGGCCTAATTATAACTTAGGTAAGGGCAACCCAATTTCCAGCTATGTGAAATAGGGCATTCAAGGTAGGGTAACATCATGGTTTTTCATGCAGTTTTAGTTTAAGCACTTTAGTTCCTTAACAATTCTGCAGCGCTGGTGAGTATATAGTGATAATCAAAGTATAGAATTAACCAGACTGATCAGTAGCAGAAGGCGAAAGGCAAACTCCATTCACTGTTGAAAGAAGGCAAGTGCTTTAACATTTTACAGTGTCTTCATGCGTGACCTAAATATAAACGAATATCACAAACCACGCAGCTACAACATAAGCTTATATAAGAGAAGCAGAGAGCATTTACTAAGCAATACACTGCATAAAAACTGTGTATTATTCTGATTAATTGCGATTTGAGATAAAGTGAAACTAAAAATAGATATTAAAAATAACCATCCCTGCAGCCTAAGCGCCTTAAAATGCATTACTTTTTTTAAGCAAATCGAGTAAAACGCGATGTCGATGCCAGCGGATTTCGAGTCCTTACAACCAGAAGGCAAAGCCTTCGTTCGAGACCGAATAGACAAACAGGTCAGGGGAGACGAAGATTGGAATGTTACCAGGAAAGAAACGTCAGAAGCGATTACCGAGGCGACAAAAGAGGCCGCTTACGACTTTAAGGGGACGAGGGGAGAAATTACTATTCCGTCCCCACACGTGAAAGGTATTTTTAATGGTCTGATACCGGTGTGACAAAAATAGTAGTCCTAGGAATGAAAGTCCGGGGTTCTATATGATTAGTACAGGTTAGGGTTAGTCTGAGTATCGGGATTAGTTTATAGGGCGAATGTCACCTGTCCACAGTAACATACTTACTACGTTACATGTTGTATAGCAATAAAACATAACTATATTTACAAATTTATTCTTTATTTGCCTGGTCTAAAGTTTGTTTGCAAAACCGAGCCCTGTTTGGAAAATATTGGCTCACTGACGTGTGGTTTAATGCAGGGGAAGTCGCTGAGAGGGAACAGAATTCCCTGATGTATTGGTATCTAGGGTGCGTGTTGTACACAGGGCCTGTGTCCTTTGCAACTCTTGAATTGGCCTCCCCTGGGATGTTTTGATAGGATTTTATCACAGAGTTATGTTTATGAGGCCACCCAGAATAGGGGGCTAACTAGTCCGAGGGTCAAATATGGCCGACCCACTTGAATAATTCCCTACCTATTCAGTGTCTATTAGCGAATTAGACGGCAGACTTTGTAGTGGGTCACATTATTTGACCCTCGGACTACTTAGTCCCCTATTCTCAATGGGTCCTATGCTGATACTCGGGTGTCACATGTCTAGATGAGTGCAATTCAAATCCGTGACATACATTTGGATGCATTTGCCGTAATGTATAATAGGATAACCCTTGTTTTACTACAACTTTCAACAGCTAAACACATATAATAAAAGAACAGGTTCCATGTACTTATTAAGGCAATACGCTAAGGACAAGTCTCCATTGCCTTCAGGGAAATAAGATTTACGTTTATGAGGTCTAATATAGAAATACGGTCTCAATTAAGTTATAAACATAATGCAAACAAATAACGCTGTTTTCATTGGATAGGTTCATAAATACATGTATACCACACCAGACGTCATTTTGACCTAGAATATTGTCTTAGACATTTCATGGGATCAAAGCGATATCGTATTCAAGTAAGAATGGCAAGAATCGTTTGTACTCGTACAAATTTCAGCGGGACTTCCAGCGTGGGTTTACACCCCGGCCAATTGCCCCAAGAACCCTCCAATCCTTGTGTACTTTCACGGCGGAGGCTGGGTCATCTGCACTTTGGACGATGTGGATACCTTTTTGAAGATGCTTACTGAGTAAGTCCTTTTTAATTTATAGTTTCAACAAACACGGGAAAAATCTTTTGAAAATATGTTTTTTAAAGATGCTGACTCAGTAAACCCTTCTACAATTTGCTAACCATCGAAGTGTCTCTTAAAACATTTTAAAGATACTGACAAATAAGTTCGTTCACAATGTGTTAAACTCAACAAAATCTCTCCTGAAAATACTGATGTGAAGATGCCAGCTGAGTACGCCTTTTTTTTTGTAATTTCTTAAGCATAACAAAAATCTTTTCTGAAAATACTTTAGTGAAGGTGCTGAATCTGCTGAAAGAAATAAGATAGTATATTCGACAGAAAGAAATACAACTACAAAGCATTTCACAAATAATTCTGTTGATGACAGTAGTATAGCTCGGTAAATTTATAAATTGATACAGGATCTCACTTTTGGATCTCTAAATATGGATTACATTGATTTTTTTTTAAACTCAGTTTATAAATGGCAACAAATGTTAACTGTTTTAATTTAAACATTGAATTCTTTTTTTTATGAAGTCCTTCATTGATGTTTTACATTTAGTACCGCCAACTGCATCATAGTGAGCGTAGACTACCGCTTGGCACCAGAGCACAAATATCCCGCCGCCATTGACGACGCCGAGACTGCCGCCAAATGGGTTCTGGGGAACAAGGAATCTGTCGGTAAACATATAAATGGATATACAGTGTTGATAAATATAATGACACACGCATCAAAAAAAAAACAAAACAAAACAAAGATAGTGTATGTTCCCAGGGCCGCTAGAGAAGTCAGGAGGGATGAAAGAAATATTAGATACATTGATGGATTAATTCGGTAAATAAAATCAACAAATCAATTTACAATAATATGTCGATATCACTAACAAAAATAATAAATATATACATAAAAACGTATATGATAGACTTATTACAAATTTTGGCAGTTAATCAGTGAATAATATTAAAGGCTACTGACAATATGCTTGCATTTGTATTTGATCATTAAAAGAGAAGTTGAAATGACGTCCTAGTTTGTCAAAATTTCTGTACTAGGCGGCAGCAAGCTCAGCAAGGTTGGTGTCATAGGTGACAGCGCGGGAGGACATCTATCGGCCTGTGTGTCACATGATGTCCCAGGAATAGCATTTCAGGTAAAATGTTGCTTTCACCTTTTTGTTACGAAAATTTTTTTGAATTTTATTTCTGGATTTTTTGCCATAGGAAGTGTTTGAATGAAGCTCAATAAAGAAAACTAGGCAAACTCATATACCTGAAAACTAAATTGTTTCTAAAAAGTACAAAAACGAAGGGGGCTTGCCTTTAATTAAAAGATTAATAAAAAGAAGAAAAAAAGAAAATGGAAACGGAAACTCAAAAACCCCACTTCCTTCGTCAGCCATGGATTCGAGTGCAAAATATGCAATACACACTACAATGCAATCATTTCATCGTGTTTTCTGATCTGACATAATAAGAAACAAACAACATGTACAATATCAAAACTTAATTTGCGTCACGAATCGCCTGCCAGTCTCAGTTCAGTAGCTTAAAAATATTGGTACACTGTTTTTACATATTCTATCCCAGTTGCTCATCTATCCGGTGACGGATATGCGGATTGACACCCGGGAGTCGTACAAACGCTATGCGGAGGGATATGTTCTTACCACTGAGTCTATGTACTGGTAAGTACGAGCAGCAAACATACATTTTAGGGTGAACCTAAAACTATAGTGGCCAATGTAAAATGATGATGTATATGTGCTTCATATTTAGGGTATTCTTAAAACTTGTTCACGCATCCTGATTGTAGAGGTGATTTACAATATGTGCATTTGTCTCTAATGAATGAGATCCTTATGTACAGGTACATGAGTCACATTACATGTATAACTTCGTGCAGCCGTATCTCAAATAGACATTCGGTTTACAGCGGTTGAGTTCATGTCAGTATTCATAGTACAATCCATAATGATAGCAGCTTCAAAGAGGGTCAACGTCTTCATCCTTCCTTCCTATATATCCATTGAACATTTTGATGTCTCGTTTTCAAGGTTTGTAAATCACTTCCTCCACAACGAGGCTGAGAGGTCGGATCCACGTGCATCTCCAATTCTCCGGACAAAGTTTGACCACCTTCCACCGGCCTTGTACGTCGCCGCCACACACGATGTCCTGTTTGACGAAGGAATGGGTAAATTTTATTTACTTCTTATTGATTAATTTATCAATTCTATTTGTTGAAAGATTTGTTTTATTTAGCTTCGTATCTAGTTTGTTAATATTTTTTTTGTGAGTTGATTATTTAGATGTTTATTTAGTGATGAATCTATCTGTGAAATTATTTTCATTTCTCTTTCAAGGTTATTTCAAAGGCTCATAGGGCATTTTGTTTCCGACCGTAGCTAAGATATTTCATTAAAATCAACAAAGATGCTCAACGTTACATTTCAATTTACAGAAGTTGCCAATTTACGTACCCACTTTTAAAGTAATACCACACTTATGCCATATGTTTATTTTTTAGAATATGCCAAAAAACTGAAAGAAGCCGGCGTAACGATTGAAACTCTTATGTTAGAGGGCATTACCCACTGTACGGTTAATTTCCCAAGTAAGTTATATTTTAATTTCCTAGTGTGCAATTCAGTATAGCATTTCAGCATTTAAATACACTTACACTTTTGACGGACACGGACAATCCATAATGATAACATATATTATTATTATCATTATTATCATTATTATTATTATTATTATTATTTACATCGTTACTGTTAGTTTCTATAAGACATTTTGTTGTACCCCGGTACTATGTCTTGGACATAATAACGTAATTTTGTCCATGTGCTACATGTATGTCAAGCAGTGCATATTTGGTGATTTTCAGATTATTACAAAGAGACGTACGCCATGACATGCAGGAAGATCGCAGAGTTCGTAAAAAAGCATTCTGAATAAACTTTCGCCGTATCAGCATTAACCATGACAAGCAAGGCGTGGCCGTATAGCTGAGTATTTACTGCAAGATAGGATACACTGGTAACTAACAGCGACGTCTATCGTTTGATTATAGTGGAGTATTACCCCTGGCAGTTATACATGCATATGGTTTCGACACCCAATATTTAAATCCGGCAACATTATGCTGATAAGTCGGGTTTATAGATTGTGATTTTCTCGATGGTTTTAGAAAAAGTCAAACATTGGTAATCTTTTATCAAATTATGTAACATGATAAAACACGTTTGATTTAACACGACCTTGCTTTCAATTCAGTTCAGAGAAGGTTTAGGTAAATGTCGTGAGGTATTTTCTTATTTTGGTATAACTCCGTAACAAGGACTTTCTTGGTCAGACAGGAAAGGATTTTTTGTTTGCTAGTTTGTTTATAAAAACAGTGCAGCTAATCCACATGTGTAGACAATACACACAGAGAAAATTAAGAAATGAGTGATATATCATGAACTGTTTTCAAATTACGGTTAATATTCATAAGTCTACATAAGCTGTAGTGATATAACAATATATGATGAAGCAATTCAATATAGATTGATGTTTTCAGAATACAAACAAATATGCAAAATCATCAGGGAAATTTGAATACGTGACATATGCATCTCTGCAAGGGAAAACAACTTTGATCTGATTATGATATATCAATATTTTATGATTCATTAAGAAAATATAATAATATTTATAATATATCATAAATAAAATGCAAAGATGGCATATGACAAACCACCAAATAAACAAACTGCTCTGTGTGCATAGCTTCACAGGTAGCATACATTATATCAATACGAAATGTTTCAGTCCCTTAGCAAATAGCAAGATCTTAGGCCTGCCGCAAGTGTCCAGGAATTTTATCGTGCAAGCGAGGTATTAGCACTCTTTTGCTACTGTAAATATGCACAAAACAAAATTTATTTGGAAGCACCTGGAAACTCCTAAAGAATGTTCGCCGCAAACTAAATAGTCCCATTTGCCACGGACGTCAAAACGTTGATTAAAACTTAGGGTTTGTTGTGCACTTCCTTCGAAATTCCTGACCTGCAGAGTGAATCCACTTGTTGCACACTGAAACAGCAAATTGACGTTCAGTTTTTGGTCAACAGCGTCGTCTATGCTTACATAGTGGTAACGCAGTGTCAAATAACTTGAAGCATTATTATATTGAACACAATAATAAAAAGAGAACGGTTATCAATGACTTTGTCTTATAGTGAAAAAACGTTTGATCAATTATGTAAATGCAGAATGCATTTATCATTTTGTATTTCCGTAAATTCCTTAAGTGTTTAGAAAAAAACATTTAATTAAAATCAGAATTACGCAAGTGCAAGCAATCGATTAAAGGAACAGGCGTCCCTTTCTTGGTTTTAAATCAGAAATGCACACCTTCAGGAGTGCGTCTATGTACAGATAGTTCATGTGATACACAAACCCCATTTTGATCCCGATCCCTACCTGATTTGTCGCGCACTATCCCGTGAGAATATTTAAAAGGCAGTCATAGTGCAGTTAGAATACTGTTCAAATGCCATTCGATAAATTTCCACTTGGAATGCACTTCGAAAGTTTTTGACATGATCAAAACATTCGAGCCGGCCACAAGTATGTGTAAAAATATTTGGAATTCACTCGGATTTTTTAGAATGTTCTTCGAATATCCAGGAATGCACAAAGAATTGCATTTCCGACGCCATTCTTGATCATTCCGCCTCTAGTGTGACGGGGGCATAAAATCCCGCCAGAATGTTTCGAATGTGCCTCGAATGAGCTGAAATATTAATTTAGCCAGCAATACAACTACACTAGTCCGCCATTCAAAGTATATTCTAAATATTCTGACTACCTTCTGACAGCATTATAGATATTCTTAGTTTTCCAACTACTTTCGAACTGCATTTGAGAGCTTATGCAGCCGGAAGTGCACTAATCATTCCAGGCGAATTCAAGCGCATTTTGAGTATCCCAACGGTACTCTTACAAGAATTCACGACAATTAATTACCCACTAACAGCTTCAGTAGGTGTGCTAGACATCTCAGCTGCTTAAGCTGAAAGCAATTTAGCGAGAAACCCCTCGGAGATGGGTCGATCCTGTTGGATCGATCTAGATATGGGAATGGGGCCTTTTGCACGGGGCGTGGGGAATGGGGGGGGGGGGGGTTATGGCGGGTTTGT